ACCATTCAGCATTCATACCGTATAATGGTGATATATATATATGTATGTATAATTTTATTTATGTACTCTTTGCTATGAAAATGCCCTGTCTTTCTCTTAATTTACTGAAGTACCTGGCATAGAATATTTTCAAATTCCACCTGCAGTACTGAACCCCTGGAGGGAGTGGAAAAATGAGATGAACACATTTTTTATGTGGTATCCACATTCTGCACAGAGCACACCTACCCGAACCATGCCATCCTGACTCCCTGTGATGATGATGTGGCTTGTATCCCATGTTGGCCCCTCCACTATACAGCAGCAAGTTATGGATCCTTCAGGGCCCCAGGCTGTGGTGATGCTGGCCAGGGGCTGCCCATTGACATTCCACAGGGACAAGTGGGCTCCGGCGCAGGAGACAATGGTGCCCTACAGCAGTGAGAGCTGGCTTTATTCCAAGCTGGAGTCACTGGCAGCTTACCTTCCACATTCTCATTCATCCAGTTTGCATACTAAAGCACCCCATCCTGCCAGCTTCTCAAAAGGCCTCTGTCTTCACCAACCCACTGATAGACCCATAGTTTGATGAGATTATTAAGAGGTGGTGAAAACTAGGAGTTGGGCCCAGGTTGGAGGAAGTAGGTCACTGGGGTATGCCTTTGAAGGGTGTATCTTGTCTCTGCCCTTCCAGCCTCTCTGCTTCCTAGATCCGGTGACATGAACAGCTCTGCTCTGTCATGCTCTGTGTGTTGTTCTGCCTTGACTCAGGCCCAAAGCAACAGAGTCTGCTGAACACAGATTGAAATGGTGAGCCAAATAAATCTTTGCTCTCTCAAGTTATTTATCTCAAGCATTCTGTCATAGCAATAAAAAATTGACTAGGACACTGGCCCATGCTTTGGAATCCTCTAAGATCCCACTCCCTGAACACATCCTGGCAGCCATGGAAGGCATAGCCTAAAGACCACGCCTACTTCTGGATAGGGGACCATCACTGGGTCACTGCTGGCTCTGTGCCCATGAAGAAGTTTTGGATTTTATCTGGTGGAGGACAGCACACAGAAATGTAAATGACTGAGTGACTTATAAAACTTCAATGCTCCTCAAGAAGGAAACACTGAGGAGAAATTTCCCACTGCATCTCCCAAAAGGTTCATATCTTGAACCTTATTCTAGCATGGGCAGACCCTCCTGCCCAACCTCCTGATGCACATACCAGAGCAGATACCTCCCAGAGCCCCTACATCCCCAAGGGAGAAAATGAAGAAGCAAAACTTAAAGTAGAGCCAGAATTCCACAGGCCCATCTGCAGGGAATGGTTCAGCACACGTGGGGCCTGATTCACAGTCAGGACTCAACAGTATCTGTCTGTCCTCGGGTTTTCTCCCTGGGGCATTGTCCACCAGGCAGCCATGCAAGCTCAAAGACCCGGTGAGTGGACCCCAGACATGGAGAAACAAGCCTCACCGAGACATCACTGATGGCAACAGCTGAGATGCCCTCCCGATGAACAGGCAGGCAGGCCACGTGACAGAGATGATCCAAGTCCCACAGGATACAAGTGCAGTCCTGAGAACCACTCACCAAAAGGCTGAAGGTAACAGAAGCTGCCAGGCATGTGACAGCCTGGGTGTGTCCATACAAGGCCTGGGAACAGGAGGCAAAACCATGGGTTATAAGAAAGAGCCATAGGGGCTGGAGAAATGGCTCAGTGGTTAAGAGCACTGACTGCTCTTACAGAGGACCTGGGTTCGAGTCTCAGCACCCACATGGCAGCTAACAACCATCCATAATTCCAGTTCCAGGGGATCCAATGCCTTCTTTTGACCTCCATGGGCACTGCATGATATTGGGTGCACTTACACACATGCAAGCAATACACTCATACACAAAATAAAAATAATATATTTTTTAAAGAGCCATAATATAGCTACCAAGGGGCTGCCCACCCCTCCCCTTTGCTGCTGAGCCCTAGATGAGGAAACAGAGATGCCAAGTGAGAGAGTCAGTGACTCGAGAGTTCAGTAGGGGATGGTGTGTATGCACATGTGTGGCCTCTTGGTGACATCTACTTCCAGGACCAGAGATCCAGCTGGGGAGAATCAATAGTCCTTTACAATAACCTAGTCGGAGGCCAGCAGTGTCCTTACACTTTGTCCTCCTCTGTCTTCATTGGAAGCAGCCCATAGCACTATTAGTAAAGGTTTCAACTGGCAAAGCATGCGCCTAGACCTGCATTCTCAGCAGTCCTGGGATCTCAGTGGAAATGCCCCAGATTTGCTGAATAGGAAACTCTGGTGTTGGAGCCCTGGAATCTGCATCTTCACAGTCCCTTAAGAAAATCTCATGCATACTTAAGTTGGAGATGTATTTCATTGTAGGAGACTCAGAAACACAGTAGTCCTTTGAATCTTTGATCTAAACTAGATTTACAATGCTAGAACTATAGGCATGACCACTGTGTTTAGCTAAAGATATGAGTTTTTATTATCATTATTGTGTATGTATGGGTCTGTGCACAGCATGCCTGTGGAGATCAGAGGACAACGTTCAGGAGTCAGACCTCTCCTTCCACCATGTAGTTCCTGCAGATCAAAATCAGGTTTGGTGACAAGTACCTTTACCCGCTGAGTTCACTTGCCAGCCCAAGATTCATCTTGTTAAGACCCATGGATCTCGGTTCATGTCTAGCTATGACTTGGGACCTTGTTCTTGGACCTCAGGTTTGGCCTGGCTTTATTAATGGATGTATGTGAAGACACAGCAGGAGGCCTTGCTGTCTCTAGACATGTTCTAAAGTGACCAAGTTTCCCCTGGGCCCATGGAAAGCTGCCTGGAAAGACTGAGGTAGACTCTGTCTGCATGTGCTTGCCCACCCTGGAGTCAGCCAGAGAAGTGCAGAGGTGGATTGTGAAACAGGACTGACCTGGCTTAATGGCTGATAAACCTCCACCCCTGGGGCGCAGATGACTGCTCACTCATTTGGGTCAATGAGATTGAACATCATTTTTCAAAGCTGTCATTTTGCCTGATCACAGCTATTAAAATTTCTGTCATAAGTCTGTCCTCGGTGGATCCTAATATGACACCAACCAGATGGTGATGGCAAGTTCCTGGATGTGACCCTCTGAAGAAGAATTAAATTGTCTCAGGAACATGAAAATAAACAGAGGAAGAAGATTTGATGGGAAGGTTCTAATCTTCCCAGAATGAATTCAGTCTGATGACTGAGTTTTGACCACAGGGGACAGCACCTCCAAAGGGTACAGGCAAGGGACCCTGGTGGCCCATCTGAGGACTCAGAGAGAACAGCTTTGAGCCCAAACGCCAGCACAGGTTGTACTATGGAAGTAAGTCAGCCTGTGCTGTGCAGGGCGAACGGTGAGCCCTGCATTGCCTGTATAGGTGGGGCTGACTGCCTTCTGCCAGCTCAGAAACTACAGCATGAGTAGGCAACCAGAGCCCATCCATCTAGAAAGGCAGGGAAATCAAGGCAGAGCACAGCAGTTCTAAATGTGTACCCTATGGGCTCTTTTGTTATTTCAGAATAATTTCTGCACAGGTCAATTAAAAGAACTTCATTATCCCACCTTATACCCAAGTAGCAAAATATAAATGAAATAAAATAAAACCACTCAAAAAGAATTAATTGTTGATGGTATTGTAGGGTAATTTTGGAAAACTTTAAGTCACTGCTCAGTAATTCTACTCAAAATTGATCATAAGGAAACAATTAGAAGCAAACGGCAGGTACATGGGATTCTTTCTGCAGCACTGTTGGAAATGGTTAAAAGTTGGGAATAACCCAATTGTCTAGTTTTAGAAGAAATAGTTTATTAAACTGTGGTGCATTGACATAACAATTGAAATGTAATTTTATGGAAATGGAATCATCTGGAACAATTGAAATGTAAATTATAGAGGCTGTAGAAAAATGAAAACAATCTGATAAGCTGGCTGGAAATGGAATAAAAATATCTATACAAGACTCAGAAAGGCATAAATATGTATAAAGGGGTTGGTAGTATGCAAAAAATGAAAACTTTTATGGGGATTGTAGTTTTAAAGTGAATTTAAAATTCTGTTTAATGGTTTAATATCTTTAAAAATAAACAGTTTCGGAATTGTTTCTGAAGCTATTTCACAATGGCCACTCAGAGTAGCTAGAGGCTGGGGGAATCCAAAAGGCCATGACAGTCTTTTATGTACATGATATACTTTTATTCACCTAAAAAGACAAGAGGTATGGGCTTCTCCACACTTTTTCATCTTGATTTGGAACTAGGAGAGGATCATCAATTATATTTTTAGAATGTCAATATTCAGGGTTTTATGGTGCATCTTCACTGTTAAATGCAAGTTTAGAGTAGGAATGAGGGTCTCTTCCCTATGTCTCAAGGTCAGCTCCAGGGTCAGGCTGGAAATGTCTGCAGGTGAATTGTAAATGGGCCTCAGAGATGCCTGGTAGAAGGGGGCACTTGGTCTTCCATCTCCAGGCTCTTTGCTTATGTCAGTAATAAATCCAAGGACTACTCTAGAGCTCTAGAAGCAACAGGGAAGTGTGAGAAGGCAGGGCACCACTGCCTGTGGGATTTTCTGGCCTATCTGGGAGGGCCACATGAGGTTTCCAGCATAGCAGCCCCTCAGCAGCTGCCCCTGCAGGACAGACAGCTCCCTCCCATGCCGACCTGCTCAGGACCCCACTACTGGCTTATTTATCTAGGGCTCACCTGCATTGACCATGACTTGGGAGTGGGAGCAAGAGACAAGAGCAGTGAATTGGAAATCACTCAGAGAAACTTACTTTAGGAATCTGGCCAGGAGTGAACCTTATATTGTTTATTTTGGGGGTGCTACTTTCTGGTTTTAAACACAGGTGTAAAAGTGATGGCCATTTTGATTTGGGAATATCCTTCATGATGTCCTTGGAGAAGCTCAAGAGTACACAGGAGAGAGGAAGGGGTTTAAAGGTAGAAACACTCAGACTCAAATGTACCTTCAACCCTGCTTGAGTGTTGAGAGACCCTGGTGTACTTTAACTACTAAGAGAACTCCCATTCTGATTAACATCAAGAGTGGTGCTGGTCCATGAGCCTGGACCAGGAAGTCTCTGCTTGCTCCTAGCCTACTGTTGGTTCATTTCTATCTGTGGCCACGTCCCATCTGAATCAGTTCCATTTTCCAGATCTGTGAACTTGGAGAAACCACTTGGCATCTTCATACCTTTGTCTTGCTTTTATTTTTTGTTTGTTGGTTGGTTGTTTTTTACTGGGACGGTAAGGACGTTAATGGTTCTTGTTTCCCAGGACTGTTTGAAGTTAAAATGAGGTGATGCATGTGAAGGTGTTGCAGAATGGTCAGCCCATGACAAATGTTTCAAAGCATCACCTGGCCTAGCAGACTGACTTTCCAGGACCTGGGCATATGTGGAAACAGCCTTGTGAGCCTTGCCATCATGCTCTGAGATTGGACTTGCCCAAAAGTGTCTGTTCTATGTTCTCATTTCCTTTACCCAGGGGCTGAAACCACACCCAAGTGTCAGAGCGGTGGGTTGCCCTCTGCTCCTTCCTGTGTCCCCTACTCTCAAGAGAGGCATAGCCTTTCATCTAGGAATCTTGGTGTGTTTAGGCTCCACTGATGCCAGAGGCGCCACATTTATGCACATACCTGTTGGAGGTGCAAGCCTCTTGGGCGGCCTTTGACCAGGCTGAGCTCCCACACACACACCACTGTGCTGGCCCCAGAGGTGACTATCATGGTGGGGGATGGACACACAGCACACAGACAGGGGCCCCAGGCAGCCAGGTTCTCGAATGTCACCAGGATCTGTGGGAGAGGGAGAATGTGTGCTGATACAGGGCCAGCAGAGGCCCAGAAGCCAGGACAGAGCACTGGGGACACAGGCAAGTCTGAGTACCCTGGGAACTAGGGCCACGTCCACAGCCAGGCTCAGATGACAGAATCTAGGCCATCCCAGTCCTGTCCCCAAGGAGGAGCTCCTACTCCGGCCAGTGGGGAAAGATAGCAAGCAGGCACCTGTACTGATACTCAGATGCTGAGAAAAAAACCCAAAACAAAAACAAACAAACAAAAAACAACAAAACTATTGGAGTACCAGGGCTTGCAGACAGTGGTAGGACAGGAGTGGGACTTTTGGGACTGGTTTCCATGACTGCCTCTTGGAGTGGATGAGGCAATGCTAGGAAGTGAGGACGTGGGGCACGAAGAATGGGGAATTCAATCTATATGATAGTGTGGGGTTGAGGGAGAGCTGAGATAGCAAGGGAAAAGGCAGAGACAATTGGAAGCCCAAAAGGTAAGGTGGGACAGGTCAACAGAGAGAGGGCTTGCTGCTGACCAGCTGCTTAATACCCACGCTGTGCCCATCTCGTCTGAGTGGTATCTGGGGTGGCAGGAGCTGCAGAGTCCCCCCAACACTGATTGTACATTGACTGTGAAGGTGGCAGTGTGCTCTGCCAACCTGCAAACTGCAAACTACAAATTGCTCCTTGAAGCATGGGTTAAAGGTCTGGGTCACAGTCTTTTAGGGGATCCTAGGAACCTCTCTCTCCCAGGCTGCGCACAGCTGTGACAGGGGAGGCCCTGCTTTGACCTTGTAGATCTCTGGACTACCTCAGTCCCAGTTGGAAGAGTGTCAAGCCTCCAGAGGCCTGGCCTACTTCCTGCACCCTCACCTTGTCGGAGCCATAGTTCCCCAGGCAGCAGCTGAAGTCATCAAATCCCCAACTGAAGGTCCTGTTCCAGAGAGGGGGTAGTAGCACTTTGTTCTTCTCCACGGCCAGGATAGTCTTCTCGGTAGGGACGATGTGGCCAATAGCCCCTTTAGGGGACTCTGATCCTAGAGAGAAAAGGTACATATCTGCCCCCGAGTCAGTATAGTGGTAGATGCAGTGAAAAAAATCACCTACTTTCACTGGGCCCAGAAAGGAACCACTACAGAAGAAAGGAGCTTTACCAAGCACATGGCTTGGCCAGGAGCCACTCACTAAGGCCCTGTTGCACCCCACGATGGCCCAGGTTCCCCTCCACCCACCTCCTCGGCTCTTCCCCTGACTTAGACACACAGCTTACAAGCTTCAGACTCTTTTTAAAAATATTTCATTTATTATTTTTATTTTATGTGTATGAGAAATTTGCCTACATGTATGTAAGTGCACCCATATTGTGCAATGCCCAGGGGAATCAGAAGAGGGCATCAGATTCCCCGGAACTGAAGTTATAGAGAGTTGTTAGTTTCCATGTAGGTGCTGGGAATGAAACCCAGGTCCTCTGCAAGAGCAGTCCGCGCCCTTAACCACTGAGCCATCTCTCCAGCCCCAAGCAGTGATAACAAGGGAAGGAGCCCAAGCAGCTGGTTGGGGCAGGTGAACCAAAGCCACAAGGGCCTCAGGGGGACTCTATCCATCTACCTTTCCTGGGCTACCTGGATATCCATTCATGGGGCCTTTCTTCCCTTCTAACGGAGGATGCCCCTTCCCCTGCCCTTTGTCAGTTAAAATAGGAGCACTGCAGTCTTCCTGAGGTGTATGACTTACACAGCTAGGAAGCAAGAGGTTTGTGATTCTCATGGGCTACCTGCCCCCAGGGTACATGTCTTTTGCCATCAATTCCATTCACATATGCATCTGGGTGCTTGAGAGTAAGAAAGGCCAGGGTGCAGAGCTTGTGACCTGCCTTTGTATGTGTATAAATAGAACGTGTGTTTGCATGTGTATGTATATGCAAGGGTATGTATGTGAGAGGTAGGGAGGCAGACAGACATGTGAGTTTTAGAAGTCAGGGACTAACCTAGATGTCCTGGATGCTTCCAGGGCCTCCCCGTCTCAATTCCCACTGAGTTTGGAGATATTGCCATTGCAAAACCCACTTCTTCCCAAGACTGTGCTCTTGAACCTCCAGAAGAACCCAGCCCCTAAAGACAGCAATACAGGACCAGGTAATCACCTTTGACTGTGACCTGGGAGGGCCTCAGTGCTGGCAGACTGTGGAGGAAGGGCTGTGGGTGGCCTGGCAGGCCAGCAGGGGTAGAGGTATCCTTTCCAGGCACCGGAGGCTTCCCTGTGGCACTCCTGGATGGGTGGGGTTTAGTGAAGAGCTGAACACACACACACAACACAGGTTATTAGTGGACAGATGCTTTAGAGAGGAGCTATCCTGTGTGCACCACAGCTTTAGCCCTGCTCTGGGCCCAGTTCAGGCTTCCTCCATTTGAGCATCAACAGAATCCTTTGGGCCAACCCTCAGATGTTACAGATGAAGGGCCTAGGGTTCAGAGAATGACACCTGCTTTTATCAGGTCATATCTCTTCTCCAAGCTGCCTGGCAAAGACTAACCTTTTTGAAGAGGTCATTTTTACCTACATGATGTCTCAAATCAGTGTAAAGAAGAATATAAAGTAAAAGAATAACATCATAATATCGCTCACACATGTCAAAGAAGAACACAGCCTTTGCCTTGGGTTAATGGTGTCATCTTACCCCTTCAGGAGGTAACTGGGTGGAGCCTTGATTCTAAAGGCTTAAGAATAAAACTGGGGCTCCCTTTATCGCCCCCTCACTCCTAACAGTATAGAACACCCCTGCCCTCACTGCCTACATTCTTAACAAAGCAATATGAACAGCATGGTCTGCCATACATACCTGCTTGGGCACCTGTCCGAAGTTGCTAATGAATCCCAGGATGGTACTCTTGATCAGGGGGTCACTGATGTTGCTGAGGTCCATCCTGTCACCATAGAAGTAGGGGTGGAAGGTGTTTACCGCCTCTACAGCAGCTGGTCCCTGCTGCTTGTACCCAAAAATGAGGTCTATCCAGTGGTGGAGGTTGGCACTGACAAAGTCACTTTCCAGAGCCTGAAATCCAAACCCACAGAGTGTGAAATCTTAGCCAATGCTTGGTTTTATCAATTCTTTAAATTTGAGCCTTGCTGGATGTGTGCATGCATATGCATGTGTGTTCACATGTGTGAGTGTACATGTGGAGGTCAGAGGACAACCTTTGGTGTCATTCTGCAGGTACAATCCACCTTTCTTTTCATACACTGGCCTAGGACTTGCCAAGCAGGCTAGACTGGCTGGCCAGTGGGCCCCAGGGATCCTCATGTCTCTGCCTCCCTAGCGCTGGGATGGCAAGCATGCCACCATACCTGGCTTTTATTCTTGTGGGTATGTAATAGCATCACATTCTGGTTTTGTTTCCCTGATGACTAATGATGCTGAGCACAAGTTTCTGTCCTTGAACTAACTCAGATGTTTGACCCAGGAGACGTGTGACCCAAGAGAGGCATCCTCAGATGGTCTCTGGCATCTATCCTCAGCAACATTTCTAGGTGACAGGCCCAATCATCCCCATTCCTGGAAACCCTTTTGGTAGGTTGGAGCTCTGTGGGGTGTCCAAACTCTCTCGCTGAGCTATACTGGGAACATGGGCCAGGTAGTGGCCCTACTTGTAGGGCTGGTGAGGACACTGCCATGCTGCCCAGGAAGCATCAGACTCACATATGTCCATCACAGCCTGGTATAAACATAGAACGTACCAAAACCCTTTAAACAGCGAGGAACAAAACCTCCCTCACCACCCTCCCCCTTCTTTTGCTTCTCCAGACATCAAAGCCTCAAGGCTGAAGTGCACATCAGGTAGACTGGCACACCTCACCTGTCTGTGCAGGCTGATGAATTTTCGAGGATCCCCATCTGCCCAGGGAGGGAGCTGCACATCCCCCAGTGCTGTTCCATCCTGCATGCAGCCTGAGTGAGAAGAAGGCATTAGCAAGGCCACACTGGACTAGGGACTGATGGATGTCAAAACCACACTATCTGTGATTGCCAAGTACGAGCAGGCTGGAGTATGAGCTACATCCTATCAGCCCACACTCATTCCTGCCACCACTAACTGCAGAGTCCCTGGTCCTCATCTGCTTGACCATACTGTTGGCAACCTCCATATGGTCCTCCTGGCTTCCCAGGCATAGATTTCCCAAGTCACACAGACAACCCTAGCGTCACCATTGTGAGTGTATCGTCCTTATCACTTTTCATTGCAGTACTAAAGCAACAGGGAAAAAACAGTGATAATAATCCAGGAGTACAAGCACCCAGGTCTATGATAGCTCACTCTCACATGTGTTACAGAGAGGCTCCTGAGGCACATGTAGTCTCTCCAGAGACTCACACACAGGCCACTGTAATTTTCTGTCTCTTCTCTCAAACAGGAAGAAGACCTGGAGGATCTTGGACTGCAAAGACAGAGAACTTGCCACTACATCGGTCTTCCCATTCATAGGACACAGTGGGAAAAGTTTGGTTGAAGCCCAAGGTCAGGATGTGGGTACACAATGCTGGACTTGCTCTACCAGCAAGGGTTCTGACTTCCTGGCTGCTGTCTCATTGCAAGCTGAACTGTGAGGTCCTCAGAGAAAGGGCCATGGCCCAGGATGGGACCTCAGTGCAGCCTGAGGCCCAGCATCCTTCATCAGCAACCTCTTTTGCACAAAGTGCCGCCACCTAGCAGAGGCCTCTTCTCCAGTATACTTGTGTTACCCAGCAAAGATACTGAAGAGTGCTCCACAGAGAGGTAAAGTGGAAGGCCTGAGCTCCTTGGCCCTCAGCCCACCAGATTCTCCCCATGCCTCTACTCACCAAACTCTACTGCATTACAGTTGGTTAGGAACTCAGGCAGGTAGAAGAACTCAGGGGTCAACTCTCTGACATCGCTCATGTTCTCTCTGGAGGCAGACTCCCATGTGCTCTTCACACTGTGGAACATTCTGTCAGCCACATCAAAGCTTCCACCCTGTGGGAGAAAGGGGGATATGATCAGCCACATGTGTGGGCCTCCCTCCAGCCAACTGGCCTCAAAGTGAAGAGTTCCTCAGTCAGTACTTGGCATCCTTTCTTTTGATACAGGCTTGTATCTGCATGCCACTGTTTCTTTACACACTCATTGAAAATCTCTCTCTCTCTCTCTCTCTCTCTCTCTCTCTCTCTCTCCACTTCTGGGGGAGCAGGCATTATCTATGTATTTAAGAGATACTGTTTCCCCTTTGTGCAAATTAGAGTTCAGGCAACAGACAGAAAACTCACACCTGTTCATCTGACCATTCCCAAGGTTGCCAAAGACCACTGTGGCTGGCCTTGAACCCATGAACTCCTGCCTCTGCCCCTTTAGCCTATCTTACCAGCATGGGCCACCACAACTAGCTAAGGACCACTCTGAACTGAGCCCTTAACATGAAGCAGTGGGGATGAGAACAACTTGGGCTCGGCCCTTAGGCTCTGAGTTTGAATGTTACAGGCAGGAAATAAAGAGCCAAGTACAGGAAAAAGGGATGGGCCAGTCATTCTAGGTGTGAGTTTGTGGACAGTTTCCTGGAGGCTCTGATGGGGATGTGAATCTGAAAGCCTGGTCATGGGGAAGCAGGAAGAGAACTCTGAGCAAGAAGCAGAGGAGGGCTTGAGAGATCAGGTGCCTCTTACAAGGTACCTGGTGGGAGAGACAGATAGGCAGGAAGTGATCTAGCCCAGTGACCTTGGACCTGACAAGAGAGAGCAAGTCTCAAGACAGTGCTAGAGGAATCCTAGCATTCAAGGAGCAGGAGGCAGCACAGGCAAGCCAGGAAGCATGCAGCCCTTTCCGAAACCAGCCTTGCTCCAAAGTGCATGGCAGCAGGTAGCTCGGTACATTCTGAGCTTGGCAGATGGGGTTGGGCCCAGTAAGGTATAAGACAAATTCTTTCATTGGATGCCCTAGTCCTGCCATCTGAATGGCCAGATTTCTTCTTTTAAATTGTCAAATGACCACCATGACTTACCAGGTAGTCTTGGGGGTCAGGAGGAGGTAGTGAGGGGCCTCAGATGGGGTCCCAGCTGGAGAGAAATGCTAAGGAAGACGGACTGCAAGGAAGAATCGCTGAGAGCGGGCCTTGGGTCTGCTTAAGTTCACACACCCATACCCCAGGAATTCAGTTTTCCACTTGTTTCTGTCAAAGCTGGATCCTTGCTTAGCATGAACATGCCTTCCCTCCACTGACTTCTGTAGAGTACACAGGTAGCTCTGACAGCAAAGGGTAGAACTCTGTGTCCTGTCATGCCTTCCACTTTTCAGAGGACAGAGCAGTCCCATCAGCATTTACACAAGACAGTGGATGGTCAGCTGTAGGCACAGGTGAAAGCTAAGAACAGAAAAGAGCCTTCTCACAGCCTGATAATTCTGCCATGTAATTTATACACGCATAAGTGACTGCTCTCAATCTTTATAGGGAACATTAGGAAAGACCTGGCATTTCCATTCTGTAGACCAGAAAACTGAGGCTCCTTAAGGTGCACTGATTTACCCAAGGCTATGAAATCAGTGGGTACCAAAGCTAAGGCCAAACCCATGGGTACAACTGCAAAGGGTATGCTTTGCACATGCCAGTTTCCTAAGGAAATCTCTGAAGCTGGGATAAACTTGGCCTACTGTATGTGGGCTAAGTGTTATGGTAGACTCAGCTCCTTCTGGGAGGGGAGAACCTGTCTTACACCTAAGGTGGGTCACCTCTGGGCATCCTGTTGGACATGGACTTGTTGATCCAGTGGGATCCACAGGTCATTTTCTGTACAGGGATAGGGACACTAAGATACCCAGCTCCTCCAGGGGGACACAATCAGAACATACACAGCTTAAAGATGTGGGTTCCCACAGGTCCCTTTGTTGTCTGCTGAAATTAGGGGATGATGTCCACCATCAAATTGAAATGGAAATAGAAATGAAACGGGGAGGAATCTAAATAAATCTGCACTTAACGAGTCACTCATTGAAATGTATTAAGGGCTTTGTGTATTTAATCTGCAGCCGGAGCGTCACATCGTGGGAGATTGATGCCTTCTCCTGGCCCCGTTTTTTCCTTTTGCAGCTTTTGTAAGTGCTGATGGTAATCTCCTGAGAAACAATATGATTTGGTAATAAAAAGATTACCTGTATTAAATAAAAATAATATATACATAGGAAATATTGTTAGTGCTACAAATCTGGTTAAAGATATTACCACAAAGAAAAATGTTATTTTTTTCACAGCTGTCTAATGCATTTTAGCAAAAGTAATATCTTTAAAACTTAAGCCTGTATTATTTATAAAGGAAGCAATAACTGATTTTCCTATTTCCTATATTAATAAATGTATTTGCATACATTTGTTTCAAAATTAAAGGGTTTTCTCACTTCGGCAATACAAAAGAAAATGCCAAATTCCCTAGAAGAAAAGGTGAAATTGCTTTGTTACTTGTAAGTCTGCAGGCCGACACAAACTCTGGCGGCTGCTGGCGGTGAGTCCCAGCCTGGACTTGATTCTTAGGAAAGGAAGGAAAGTGAGGAGGCACAGAAAAGGGAGAAGAACAAACAGGAGAGACATGGGGAGGTGTACATCCGGCTTACACGGAAGGGAAACTCACTAACAAATGGAGTTTTTGCAAGAGTAAATTCTGTCTGGAGATTGGGAGGAAGTGATCAGAGAGAGTTCCTGAGGCCCTGCATTCGTCCTGCAGATATCCTTGCTTGTCATGATAATGAGCCCTGTGTGCATCCAAGTGCATGGTAAAAATAGGACAAGAAGGTCAGCAACGCAACAGCTTCCCATTGGCAGAAGTCTCTCCCATGGGCCGTTCAAAGCCAGATGGTCATGGTGCCAAGTTGAGGCTAGAAAGCTCCAAGGCAAAAGGCTCTGAGCCCATTTGAGACATCATACACATGAAAAGACACCAGAAACATACTTTGAATGTTGTAGGGATCAGAAATGAGATAATCTGAGGCATCTTGCTCAGTTAGAACTTGTTACTATGTGTTCAGCCTTGTTAAAAAGATTCATTGAAGTTAGGAGTGAAATGGGGGACAAATAGATGAGAAGGGGGTGTTTCCAGACACTAAGTTTAAATCAGGGAAATGTTGGTGTTTGTTCAGATATGTGGATTATGACTGACAAGTCCTGGAAAAGAAGGCGCTTTACTGAAGGCAGATCTCCTTTCATGTGTGTCTTAGTGTGCCATTGTCCACATAAGCCCTTCAGTCACTGCATTCTTACCCCTCTCTAGAATGGACATGGAGAGTAAGTCAGGGGGAAAACATTCAATTCTTGATCCATACTCAGATAAAACCCAGACCCTGCATGTGTTCAAAGACATCTGCATACAGATATCCCTATACACTCAAAAGCCTTCCAGCTGGGGGTGACCCAAATCAAGCCATTCACACTAAAAAATGGGTTGGTCATACAAGCAGGCTGATAACACATTAGCACCATAAGTATTTTTCTTAATAATCTAAAAGTATCTCACGGTAAACAATGCACTTACATTGTCAGCTGATCTCAGCCACCATTTGTCCGTAAGAGGCAAGGTCACAGCAGAGAATGCTATGGCTCTAGACTTAAGCTGACTTGGGTGAGAATTTCAGTGCTCGCTGGTAGGACGGATTGAGTGATTGCTTTAATGTCTTTAACCACCTATCCCTTCCTCCTCTCTGAAGCTTCAGTGATTGTTTTAGATGAGAAAGCAGTGATGTACATATGTGTGTGCCCAAGTGGGTATGTATGAGTGTATGTATATATATGTTATAAGGGAGGGGCTCACCTCAGGTGGCAGCCTAGGCAAAACAGAAAATGGTGCCAAATGACTTGAACCATGTGTCCTTTATCTTATATAATGTAGGCCTTCATCTTGCATAATATAGAATGGGGTCCCTAGAGTGTATAATCCTAGTCTTAAATTCCAATCTTAGTGTACATGGGGAAGAAAATCAGGGGCTCTCCAAAAGGAAAGGGGAAGAGGATAGAAATCACTGAAAATGAAAGGTAGAATGTGGGGGCAGGATCCTCAGTGCCTGAGAAGGGGCAGGGGGCGGTACAAAAGCCTAAGAGACCGCAGGATGGGGACAGAAGCGTGAGGGGAGCTGTCATAGCACTTTTAGAGCAGCCATAGCATCTAATAAAGGGGCAAATGTGTGCAGGCAAGAGACATGCATCCACGGGTCTCCACAGAAAACAGCCAGGCCTAACAACCTACTCCAAAGTTAAATGCCATAGGTGACATTTGGGAAGCCCAGGCACTAGTCAGTCTTAGTCTGGAGTGAGTGAGGGTGAGCTGACTCTAGAGAAGCCACCACGCTTCTGTAGGGTGAGACTCTTTCCCCGAAGCAAGGAACCCCCAAAGCATGTTGACATCCATACCCTGTGCTGTAAGCATGAGGAAAACAAATGTGTATGAGGAGTCAAGACAGCCAAGGTCTCATCCTCACCACCCAGTCAGGAGATGCTACAAAGGATGAGAGAACTGCAGCTCAGTTACATAACTACCAAGGAGAAAGTTCTAGAATCAGTTTATGCCAGGCCATGAGACTCTTTATATGTTTTTCCCAATACTCCTGGTTGTCTGTATAACCAAAATTATACCACTCAAAGACCCTGAAGAATTCTTTTCAGATCACAGTTTGGGCCCTTAAAACCCCAGTATCCTGGAGATACCATCAGAGAGTGGCTAGAGGCCTCCTGAAACAGCTACTTGCCTCAGAGGCAGGAGTTGAGCTGTAATAATATCAGGCAGAGTCCACAGAGGTGTGGGCACTGACATAAGGCCCCTGGCTTCCTTTGTCATGACTCTGACACTTACTGGAAAGTCCCAAGTAACAGCCAGGACTGGCCAAGTCTACCCCAGGGCTCTCAGTTCTCTGCAGTTAGCATCTGTCTAGTGCAAAGCCCAGCCATCTCGCCCCAGGTAGTTTGGAAAACCCTTCCTCACTGCTGGTAACAGCTGACTTCACACAGGCTTGATTTAATTAGCACAGCGCTTCATCTCTGTTTCTTATTAAATACAGCAACTGCCATCACACTGTGTCCTTGCTGGGCACAGGCTGCCTTGCTGAGCCCCGCCCAAGTTGGATCTTATCTTGGGCTTGAGAACATCTGGGGCTTTTGCTGGGGCAAAAACAGGTGCCAAGGCTGGGGTCTCTATAGGGATGGGGCCTCACAGTGACTCAACTTTCAGGAGGCTCACAGATCCTAGATCTCACTAGGCAAGATTCATGAGAACTATGGAATACTGGGATTGCCGTAAAGGAGGGGTTCCAGCTACCAACCCCATAATAAAGCATTTCACATCCCCTAGAGGCTAGACCGGGGTTAAGAGAGCACATAGCCAACAGGAGTCTGGTTACACTGTACACACGTTCTACCTGCTCATACCACACAGCACACACATCTACAGGTGCTCATCCAAGTTGGGTACATGCCTTTAATTCCAGCACTTGGGAGGCAGAGGTAGGTGTATCTCTGTGAATTCAAGGCCAGCCTAGTCTACACAGTGAGTTCCAGGCCAGCTGGGGCTACAGGGAGACCCTGCCTCAAAAACAAACAAATAACAACAAAACCCAAAAAACATACAGGTGGTTCTCCATATCCAAGGGATCCACATTTGAAGATTCAACCTACCACAGACTGGAAATATTTTAGAAAATCATATCTGACTATAGCTTATTTTTTTCTCTTCATTTTGTGAAGTATACAGTATTATAACTATTTCAGAGCATTTGATTGTAGTAGATTCTGTTAATAATCTAGAGGTAGTTTAAAGTACACAGGAAGATGTGTAGGTTCTATGCAAAAATGACACTTTTACGTATTTTATGAGTATCCTCAGATTTTGGTATGAGGGAGGGATTCAGGAACCAACACCCATGGATGAATGATTGTTCTGTATTTTCTGGATTATAATGTTGAATTGACTAGTTTGGGGCAGCAAAAAGACATTAATAACAGAGGTTATTGTTTTAATGCCAAGACCAGTCCTAACCATGAGGAGAGTAAAGCGTCCTTTACATGGGAGTCAGGACACGGCACACTGTAGACCTGAAGCTGCATGAGAACCCAAGTGCTGTTAACACCCCTGGGCCCAGAACACAGTGAGCCAGCCATAGTGCCCAGTGCTGTCAGCAGCCCATTAGGCCACACTGGATGTACCACACACGCACACAGTGTGCGGCAGGAAAGGTGGGCCCCTGCAGTCATTGACAGCCAGCAGTATGTCTGGTGGTGCATACCACTGAATTCTATATTTTAAAATGGCTACAGGATACATACTATGTTATGTGTCTTTTACCAAAACAATACAGTTAAAAAAAATAATACATATAAGGTACTTGGCACCACCGGGAACACAGTAGGTACTTAATGAGACTGGTGCTGTTATAAAACCACATTTCAAAGCAGCGCCTCGCCCTCCATCTTTAACTAATAAGGAAACAAAATCCCAGAAAAAGATGATCTGCTCAACATGAGTTGGCAGAGCTGAGGACACGGGGTCTTGAGTACCCTGATACTCAGACCCTGGCCAGGGGCACACATGTCCTCACTCTGACTTACATTATCAGGTGAGTGACAGAGTTTACTGAGTACAGAATGGAAAGCGTGTTGATACTTGTGGACACAGCTCCAACTTCTCGTGAACGCAGAAGTTCTCCTCACAGGAGTCCTGTGACCTCCCCACCCTCTACCCCATCCACAGACAGTTTGGAAGTCAGATGGGCGAGACCCTGGGAGGCTTCTTTCCTGTCACTACAGGTGAGGGTCTCTGGAGAAGGAACAGGCCTGCCCCTGAGGAGGTGGGCTGAGATGGAAGGAAGATGCCAGAAAATTTCTTAGGAGATCTGGTGAGGCCCAGGACTCCCAAAGGGAAGTCACACTCCTTTTCTCCACAGATGTGGCCTTTGTCCCATTCCTTTGAGAAGAACTAAAACTCTTTGTTGCCATTATTGGTGTTTCTCTAGGAAATGGCAGAAGACTGGTTCTTCTGCTGGTTCTGAATGCTTGGGCCAGTTATAGCCAACTGGAAGTGTCATTTCAATGTTAGAAGGTGAGACAAATTCTGGGCTTTCTGCAATGAGCCTGGGATGATCTCAACTTGAATGGCCAATCTGCCAATGACAGACTTGAGTCAGAAATCTCTAGGAGCCACACCCGAAATTCCCAATGTAGTCCACATTGGAAATAGCTGTGTTAGGGATCACACTAACACAACTGCATGGTACCTCCTGAAGTTGGCTCTGATCATCTCACACTGGGTTAGACCATCTCAAACTAGTTTGGTCTGGTTATCAACGGAAAAAACTGGTTAAAATAAGCTCACACTGGTGATTAGCTTCCCAGTAGTCATTACCCAAATGCTCTTATGGATTTGTAGTACCTGTTTAGTCTGTCTCTTTCTAGTCTGGAATTCTTTGATGTAGTCCAGGCTGCCTTAAATTAGCTTACACCAAAGGATACCTACCAGCCTGAACAAGTTCAAGTCTGCTAGAATCAGATCTGCCTGGTCTCAGTGGGAAGAGGGGGAGCTAACTGTGATTGATCACCAGAGCTAGGGGCTTTCCCCGTGTCTTCTCATGTATCCTTTGTGTCAATTTGCTGATCTGTGGATAATTAACCCTCATTTCCAGAGGTAACATAATGTGTGGAATATTTGGTATCTACTAAGTGGCAGGGCTGGGTTGCAAATCTCGCAGCGTGGGTTGTCTCTATTCCACTTCATCTCCTCCCCATATGGGAAGATCCTTAGCAACAGGTAGAGCTGGGCCTTCTAGCTTTAATGCATCTGATGGAAGGGACAAGAGGAAGCTGTGACAACATCCCGATCATTTGAACATTTCAACTCCCCAGATGGGAAGCAGCAACAGAATCCATCACTATCGTCAGCAACACTGAGCATCATTTCTTGTGGATTAATGAGCAACATCTGGATGGGATTCCTGGCATGGGGTTCAGCTCTGGGAGCATTCATCCTCCAAACTAAACTTACTTAAAATGCTTGTTGCCTGAGAAAGACTCAGGGGAAGTACACTTATTATTTTTTAGTGGATTTCCAGAGAGAGAGGGTTATATACAGTCTAGACAAGCCACAGTTAAGGAGAGGGGAATATATGCTAAGAAAGAGGAGATGGGAGGGGGTTTACTTCTTACTGGAGAATATGCCTGACCTTGTCTCCCTATTCCTTCCCAGGACTCTGGAGTGTTTGTAGTGCTAACCTAGGGCGCCCCTTGGTCTCTCAAGTTCAGTGCTCTCTGAACGACCACAAAGAATGATCTTTCTGGTGAAGTCAGACAAAAACTTACAGTTTCTAGGGCACTCATGCTTCTCTGAGATGAGGCTCAGGTGTCAAGGCCAGGCTGTGTGTGCTCAGTGGGTCCCCGGTCATGAGACCCAAGCATTTCACTCATATGACTATTGCAAAGCAGAGATCAGGTTAGCCATAAACTTTGCCCTGTGATACATTCACTCTGTAGTGAGCTCAGCCAGCTGGCTGTAGCTGATATACCTAAGAAGAGCTTTACACATTGAGAGCTCTGCCTTTGGGATAATTGGGTTCCTTGGATGCAGGATCCCAGTGATAGGGTAACAGGGGAAGAGATAAAGTATGTTTCAGTACCACCCCAGTGCTGTCCATGAACTCTGTTTTAGAAACCCTAAGTATCCAGGACCCCACCACCATTTGGTAGTCAGACTGGCTCATCTCCAGCTCCTTCAGGACTGCCAGGTAAAACACAGAAGGCCCCAGATGCATTTAAATTCCAGATAATCAATCAATAGATGATTTTCTAGTATGAGTCACTGTCTATCTGATCTATCTGAAAGTCACTGTTTATCTAGAATCCAAACTTAATGAGGCGTCCTGACTTTTTATTTGTGAAACCCGACAAACCTAGGTTGGTACTGTGGTTTGTTGGCTTATGGGTGGATGAGCTGGCTAGCTTCTTCTCCAGGTTATCTGTGTGTTTTAGATTTCAAATTCTCTGTACGATAGAGACTTTCACTCATACTCAGTGTGGATTTATGCATCTGATGTCTTGATCCATAGCCATTGTTCCACTGTTTGCTTTTCAATCTTTGCTAACCCTTCTATCTTGATAATTCCTGCTTTCATCTTCCGTTACTTCTTATTTATATTCAATCTTCATATATTTTATTCCTTGCTATTTAGAGGACTTTTGTAAGACCCAGGTGGATAAAGAAGTTTCACTGACAAAGAACAGCCTGCCTACAAGTGTGGGATCCAGAGTTAAGTTAAAGATTGAAGGGGTCCTGGTGTGTGTGCATGTCTGTGTGACATGGCAGTGCGTGTGCATGCACGTGTGCAGAAAGAGATGACAGCAACTCACCTGCAATGCACAGAAGGCCTGTGTAAAGGGCGGCATCCGGACCAAGTAGGAGGCGACAATGATGGCTGAGGAATAGTGGGTGTAGTAGTGGCACTGGACGGCCATGTCTCCTAAAATAAAAGGATGTGCCTGAGGGCTGCTGCCTTGCCTACAGGCAGCAGACAGCTTCCCTGTGCTTGGGAAAAGTATTTAAATATGAATTCACTGAAGCTCCACAAGCAAGTCGACATAAAGGAAAAGACAGGGTATTAACAGTTCAGATGACTTATTCATGTGACAAAAATGCAAAGGCAACATACAAATGTGCAGTTTAGGGACCAAGTTCTAGAGCCAGTCAAATGTGGGCTCTGCCATTTGAAGGCCGTGATCTTGAACAAGTTGTTTAAGTCTGAGTTTCATTTTCCTGCCCTTTGGAACAGACAGTGGAACACAGTGGCCCTGGAATGAGTGCAGTTCCTTCTGTCTTCGCTATCCCCAGATACGCAGTTACCAGCACTCCAAGTGATACTTTTCTAACCAGGATGGCCCTTAAAGTCACTCAAGCTGTACCTTACCACAGATTAAGCTAAGTCAGAATTTCTAAAGGTGAGGGCCGGAATTCAATATTGTTCACAGGCTCTTCCAGTTGATTCTCTCATGGCCAGGATTCTAACCACTGGATTAGAAAGCTCTTTATTCAAGTACAACCATTTGTCACTACCAGTGGTTTCAACATATTCAGAAAAATAGCACTATTTGCCCACACAGACAGACACTCATGCTCAAGTCATACCCACACATTTACAGATACACAAATGCACACACTCATATGCATACACAGACTCACACAACATACACGGACACTGAGGTTCATACACACATGCACAATATGCACACAGACACATATGTATGCACAGAGATACACATGCACGTGTGCACATATATGCACACACATATACGATATGCACACAGATAGACATACATATGCATACACAAAGACACACACATGCTTGTACGCACAATCAAATTCAAGTTGGGATCCACCCACCTTCAGTTTTTTCAACTTCTTTAAACCTCTGGGTAAATTTCTCCTTCCTTTCCTTGGTCTGAGCCCCCATGGGCTTGGAAAGATCCCGGAAAGTCTTGGGATTCGTCAAGTTGAGCATCTAGAAGGCAAATGTGCAGCTGAGTTAACTCCCCAGCCTTCTGGTGCCCCCAGGAGCCACACTCTTTAGTTTTACGGCTCCCTTTATTGGTTTATTGTCATTTGGTCTGAACCCCTCTGGTGATTAGCTGGCTAGCTGGAGTTTTATGGCCCTGAAGCCAGTGATCCAGAAAGACTTAATAGGGGAGAGACAAGAAGTAAGAGGAGGGAAGATTGAGTTCACAATGAACCTTTTCCAAGTTGACCCACATCCAACATGACCACCAGTTGCTGAGAAGAGACTTTCAAAAGAATTCCAGTTGCCTGTAGTTTTGACTGTTGCTCTTACTAAGTAATTTACTGTAATAGTTCAGGGTCCCTGCTTAGAGTCAAACTTGTTTCATAGGAGGCAGGAAGCCATCTGTTTGGGGGAGGAAATGAGGAACATGTTCATTTTTCTGAGGCTCACTCTCTCCTGGACAATAAAGACATGTAATGTGGGCCCCGCCTCTGACCTTGGGAATTCACCACAGTGGGATGAACTTGGAAATTCACCATAGTGTCTTCAGAAGACATTTGCTAGACATTAGTGGAGGACTGAGAATCCCTGGAGTGTGCATCTCCCTGTAAGAGGGGAAGTTTCTTTTATAAGCCTCTCTTTTCACTAGCACTGAGTCTCTGTGGCTTGACTGATGGACAGTTATGTCATCACCTTAAATACTGGCAGAAGCCAGGCCATGGCAAGAGGGAACAGGCTCTCCTCCACCACCAGTGATTGATAGAGAGCCACACAGAATCTCACTCTCGGCTTCCGTTGTTCTCACTGGGTCAGAATGGCTCATATCTATGATCTTCTGATTTTCCAAAATTTCTAGATTTTCTGGGAAAATCTCTCTTTTTTGTGTGTATGATATATTGCATGTATGTATGTATGGATTATATGTATGTTTGGTGCACCCATGTGAGTGTGCAGGTTCACATGCCCACGTGTGAGTATGCAGAGACCTTATTGCTTCTTAACAGGGTCTCTCCCTGAACCAGAAGCTCATGACTTTGACAAGGCTGGCTTGCCAGTAAGCTCTTGGGCTCCATCTGTCTCTGCCACCTCCCCAATACCAGTGTCACTGGCATGAAAGCCCATGCCTGACTTTACATGGGTGCTTGGGGATTCAAACTTGGTCCTCATGTTTTACAGAAAGTATTCTTACTCATAACACTATATCCCCAGGCCCTAATCTCCTAGCTTTTAAATACCGGAGAGTAATCACAATTTTAAATACAGGGCATGAGTTAAAACAGAAAAGACTTATCAAATTGCCACCACTTTACAAGTGTGAATTAATCCTTGGATTTGGAAGCAGAAGCATTTGAAATGTCCTGGTTTCAGGTAGATTATCGGTGTGAGAAAAAACAATGTGTGGCTGGTGAGACAGTGGTACTGCATTCAACGTCTTACATGGAGAGGGAAGGTCCCAGAAGACTACCTCTCCCTCTTCCAAAACCTATACTCTTCCACATAAGCATTCCTAGGTAGGGCTTGTCAGGTTGATCTGACCAATGATGACTCAACACTTCTGTTCTTCACACACACCCAACACATTCCCTGCTGCCCATGGCCCAGAGGCCCAGAACCCACTCCGTGGACTGGATGTCCAGTGTAGATATACGCATCGCTTTGGTCTAGCTGTGTGGCTTTCCTCCTCCTCCTCCTGCTCCTCTTCCTCATCCTCCCCCTCCTCCCTTGTCTGCTGAGGGTTGTGATTGGAGGCCAAGAGAGATAAATGTCTGGTCTCCATTCAGATCCTGTATCTCCACTACCAGAGCCAAGCTAGGCAAAGTGGCTATTGTTCTTTATCTTTTCTTTTTCTCCCTGTCTCTGTCTCCTTCACTCTTTCTCCACTTGTTGATTCTAGAAATAAATCCCATGGCCTGCCTCACTGGGACTATAGTGCCCCCAGTGTAGGCACACAGAAGCATCTAGCCACACAGCAGATGGATAGCAGTTGCCTTCAGAGGTGACAGAAAACACTCTGGGGCTCATGTGCACCAGATGTGTTGATTATTATACAGGTGAAACCCGGGCAAAGGCTGTTATGGCTGCTATGGCTTTGGAAGCAGCTAGCATTCTTGAGGCCTAGGGAGCTGAGCCTCCCAGTGAGGCTCTGTGTGTTGATGATTGGGGTGGGATGCCTCAGAGCTCCTGTGGTGTATCCTGGAAAATGCCTTACCTCTGAGGTGTAGTCAGCGAGGACCCAGGGAAACACGGGGTACTGCATGTAATCATTATACGTTCTCCCAGCCAGCGTGTTGAGATGCATAAGGTATTCAAAATTGCTGATTTCCCTTTTCTACCAGAAGAGACACAGAGGAGACAAACCAAACATATCTGATATCCTCCTGAAGCCACAGGGACCTGGCCCCAGCACCCACCAGAAGACCTAAGCTCTTTGGCAAAAACGGGCAGGTGACACCTAGATATTTACCCACATCTTGTGCAGGAGCTAGCACCACACATGTTCGATAGAGAAAGTAAAGGCAGTCAAGTAATCTAAAGCCATGGTACAGCTTTCTTGGATGCTAATTGTCAGGTGTGGTACTCAAATGCTGATTCAATGCCAGGACAAATGCTTGGGATGAACTCACTGCTGACCCTTTCACTGTTAGAAAAATGAGCCGAAGGACATGGTAGACACAGAGAAAGGGGTCCCCACTAGACTGCTGGGTGACTGCCATCCTCTGAGCCTCTAGGAATGGCTTTGTCCCTGTCCCCCTCTGATAGGATAGTACTCTCTCAAAAACTTTCTGGCTTAAGCTAAACATTCACAAATGGTGATAGGAACTACATATGGGGAAAAGATATCAAAACCACCTAGTGAATGAACAGGCCAGGATAGCCCCCCTGATCCGAAGCCTGCATGCGCAGGGACTCTCCTTTTCTTGGCTTGATCCTTAGGAGAGGACTTGGGGTATCAGTGACCAAGAGTTACATTCTTGGCACTTTATGATCTATAGAACTGGTTCCTTTGTAGTCCCTTCCTCACTGAGGACTCCAGGCTGGTAGCTCATTTGTGCTGAGAGTCATGAGTGTTTCCTCAGAAATGACATGTGTAACCACCCTCCAAGTATGTATGTGTGTATGTCTTCAGGGACAGGGAGTATGTGTGCCTACAGAGGCATCCGTAGTATACATGTGTGTACACATACACATACTCCCCAGTTCTGATTCCAGTGCTCAAAGATGATCTTTCATCCCTGAGACCTTGTCAGGGAAAGATGTAGAACATTTCAGCAAACTGAAAACACAAACTTCCTTCTTGAGTAAGCGGCATGCCTCCTCTTGCTGGGGCCTTAGGTACTTCCTGTTTTGCATCCTGCAGGGTCTCCCCATGCCCCCACCAGGGAGTCACTGTACCTGCCACCTCTGCAGCATGGTCCTGTTGAAGCCAGGGTGTCTCCTATGGAACAGAAAAACATGATGTTGACAAAATATCCCAGGACATGAACATGAGTAAGGGGCGACGGGGCTTCTTGGGGCTTTGTGAGGCCAGACTTCCCAAAGCACGGGGAAGCTCGCACAGGCCAGCACAGCCTGACCATTGTCCAAGCTGTTCTTGGACAATCACCGTCCTCTTACACACTTCAGAACAACTGCTACCTTAAGTGTGACCTGTGAATATGTCTCCAGGATATGCAGAATATAAATATGGACGTGATTCAGAAAAAATACAAACACCACGGGAGGCTATAAAACATAAGCCTCCAAACTACTGCTTCTACTCAGTAAACACATTCAATGAACAGTTTCTAGTATGTCATTCCAAAAAGAACCTTGGCACAACTGTTTGTCCACCTGCTTGCATTATTTTGTTTTTAATTGATCATGAATGGAACCAGGTCACATGTGCAGTTCTCCCCCCACCACCTTACTTGCTCAACAAGACTCCTATAGACCAGCTCACATTGCTCTGTAGGATTGGTTTTGTAGCCTCAGCCTACCACACAGCTGGATTTCTGGCTGTGACACTACTAGGTTAAGCAGTAAAGAACATTTTCAATTTTGCTGCATATTGTCAAATCGTTCTCTTAAAAGGCTGTACCAACTTACACTTCCATTATTAAGACATACGAAGTGAAGCAAAGAGATAACTATGGTTGGCCAATCTGGAAGAAAGAATTCAAAGGTTTACCTGAAATCAGTGTTGGGAAGGGTACAGGAAAGGGATCCTGTCCCCACCATTCAGTTCTTCAGCCTTAGGCGTGCACTTACTTTCCTCTGCCACTTGTTTTCTTCCTCACTATCTCTATGAAAGTCTCTTTCTACTCTCAAGATCAAGTCTCTCTGTTCAAGATGTTCCACCAAACCAAACCCAAATCGCACTCCTTGTACTGTCCGTTCCCTGGCACAATCCTGCTCAGATGCCCATAGATCCATCTCCCCACACCAGCTGCTATGCTAGGCCTTCCAGAACCTCCCCAGACCTCAGCTAGAAAAAGCTTGGCTGTCTAATTACCCCAGCAGGGAAGCGACCTCCCAACCCTCCCATCATAGGCCCACCTCTGCATCATCTGCCCTGAGTACCCCAACTCCTCTGTATTTAGTTTCTTGGTAGATTTTCCTATAAGGGAGCAATTCCCAGGCTGGGATTCGCCCCTTCCTTCCCAGTAAAGAAGTCATCTATGTGGTCTATTTTCTCCAGGAAACCAACCAGAACAGCACATGCAGGCAAAGCAGGATCAGGTTTACAGTACCAGCTACAGAGTCTTGTTTGCATCCTCTCTTATCTTACCCCTCACCCAAGTTCTGAAGGGCAGGCTGCCTCACGGCTGTAAATGAGAGCAGAACCTGGGCTGGAGACAGTAAGGGTCATTATTTTGAACCCTCAGGGATATTCCTGAAAGTTCTGCTCCTTCCAGAGCCACGAGTATGTGAATGTCAGTGTACCGAAACATTCTAATCTTACTACTTGAAAATATGAAAGAATAGTAAGAACTTGGGGTAAAACATGGCCTTTCAGAGTTCAGGAAATAAAAGAGCCTCTACCATCCTTCCTTTCAGAAAAGATTCTAGAACTTTGCCTTTGGTCATTTGTGATGTTTCTCTCATGTGGAATGGAGTGTAGGAGCAAAAGGCCTTTCCTATCTCATCCCTAGACCATCGGCTATGGGCTCCAAGGAAGATCCATCATTTCTGGTACCATCAGAAGACGCCATTTCCAATGGTGAGAAGATATCCAATCAATAGTAAGTTCTACTTTTTAAACTAAAATTTCTCATAAAAGCAAATATAACTCTTGAAATGGCCCATGTGATTTATTGTACATACCTGGTGAGTAACAAAAAAGAGTTTTCAAATGATAAAGTAATTTTCCCATCATGATGAGGTTTGAGATTAAACAAAATGTCAGATGTGGCTCTTGACTTTCTAAAAGCCCTCCTCAGTTTTGGAAGAGGCAGTGATGGAAAGAGCTGTGGTTCTGGAACCCAGAAAACCTGGATCCAGATTTAATTTATACTATTTGACTGGGGAACCTCAGCAGGATGCCAGGACTGCCTGAACCTTTAAAAGTTCATCCTTCCAATACACTGACCACATTTGCATGGGATTGTGGAGATCAAGTGCAACTGTGGGTGTGAATAAGACCAGAACAGGTGTGGACACGGACTCCCTCATAGATGTGATGCTAACAGACATGGTTATTGGTCAAGAGCAGATCACTTGTTTCCTGCTCTAGAAGGAAGAAATTGCCATGACAAGAGTGGGGAGCAGCTTTCTAATCAAGACATAACCAGTGCCCCCAAAACCTTTCTGATGATTTTGGAATAATTTGTCACCTGCATCTGTCATCCTAGTGAGCTTGCAGAAGTCACTGGGAATCTGTACTGAGTTACAGGGCAAGAGTCTAGGCCCTTCAGCAACCTAGAGTTGAGTTTAGAAGAACAAAAGGACTCAAATGAAGCCACTGAGGATGGGAGGAGGAGGGAGTGTTACCCTGGTTATCCTGAAGGCAGTCCAGCTTAGAGTCCACAGAGCGCATGATGTCAACCTATCTCCTCTTCATCTCTAGACATCACTATTCATCCTCTCCTGGGCGAGTTCCAAAGATGAGCAAGCAACTGCTCAAATTAGATTCATTTCAAATTCTCCCTTCTTTATTCTGAGATTTCACCCAGGCGGCTTTACTTGTGGTCATATCCTGTTACCGTGGGGCATTCTAGACTCCAAACACCACAGATCAGTGCCCTTGGTTTGCCTCATGGTCATGCTTTGAGCTAGTTTAACCCGACCGTCTCCATTTCACTTGGAAGCCAGACTTCTGGAAGGTTAGGCCATGAAGGAGAATCCAGGCTATATTCCAAGATCTTGCATCTTCCCTAGAGGGGTCCACAAGACAACTTAGCTTTGGACCTTCAGAGATAGTAGGTGAGTTTCCAGACCTAAAGGTCTCTGCCAGGAACTTGTCTGCCTGGAGTCTGTACCCTCTTCATTTAGGAAGGAATCTGGATTCTTCCCATTGCCTCTGGTACTAGGAGGTTAGATCTAGTCCAACTTGGCAGATAGTCAAGGTGGGCCCAAAGTCTAAACTGAGCTTTTGAGTTGAAGTAGATTCATGTCCTCTGCATTTCCAACTTCTCTCATGTTTTTTGGGAAATGGTTGTGAAAACATGATGGCATGGGTTAGTGGGAAGCTGAGGGATTTGATTCTCATGCTAAAAGATGTCAGAAAAACACAAACCACAATGAAGAAAATTCACTAATTTCAGTATACTGAAGACACATGTCTGTTGGTAGGTTTGTCCTGCTTCTCAGAAGACAGCAGCCTAGGTCTTGCACAGTCTTTACCTGAGTGAGGCTCCTGGGATAGATTAAAATACCTGTTGGATGATCCTGGAGACAGTACACAACAGAAGTAGCCATCTACCAAGAGACTGGCACTGGAAATGCACTTTCCAACTTGCTTCAGAAGCAAATTTGGGTTAAACTGAACCCTGATTTTCGAATTCGGGTAACAGGTCAATAGAAATCCATGGGGAGAGCCAGGAATTGTGGTTCACATATGAAACCCCACTACCAGGGATTCTGGAAAGTACACAGAAAGTTTGAGGCTAGCCTGGACTATAGAGTGAGACTTGCTTCAGGAAAAAAAAAGGAAGGAAAGAAGGAAAGAAGGGGGAGATAGAGAAACAGAGACAGAGACAGAGAGACACAGAGAGACAGAGAGAGAAGAAAGAAAGAAAGAAAGAAAAAGAATCTTCAAACCGACATTCTTTCAAATAGAGTTCTTCTTGCTCAGTGGGCCACAGTCTTTGTGTTCCGGCTTCCTCTCTCATTTCCCTAGCATGCAAACCTTACATTCAGCTTTAGACCTAAAAACAGTAACACTTGATAATGGTCTAGCCCTTTTCAGACTATGCAGACCTTTCACCTATTGTCTGATTTTCACAAAGACCCATTTCCTCATCAATAAATGAAGGTAATGATTGTTTCACTGAATCTTCATGAAAGTTTCACTACTCTGGCAATGGAAGGCAAACCCCCGGCTGGAAAGAATACACATGTTATTTCATGGAGAGGAAGTGGTGTACAGTCAGGTGTGAAATGTGTTGCTGGTGCCCAGAGCAGGCACTATGAATTCCTGACACATCGAATGGTCACAGAACCTGCTAGGAGAGAGCTTGACAAGGGTCCTGACTCTGAAGACTGAGGTCTTTCTTTACAAGGGGAACAGAAACAAAAGCAAACAATAACAACAGACATCTTAGTCCTGATTTCATTAAAAAGTTAATAGCTGAGAAACCAGCAATGGACATGTATTTAGAAATACTCAGTTCAAAAGTGAGCATTAGCAGATACACCAAATTCCTACTACATGTCCTGGTCCTGACATGATGCTTTGAATGCGGATCTGGATGCTCATAAAATAACCAGCTGCTAAAGTTACACATGGTTTTACTTTTCATGAGGCTTTACACATATCTACTTTAAATCTGCTTTTCTGCTTGCATAACTTCTTCTTTTAAAGAATTGTTTTTGTTTTATTTATCTGCATTTTATGATTTATATTGTTTTCTCATTTGAATTATATATTCCGATTACAAAAGTACTGTGCAGTAAAATTTGGGGTTCTTTAAAAAGTATAAAATTATATTTATTTGTTAATTCATTTAAATCCATGTACTGTGTAAATTCAGTGATATGGTTTATTTTATCCTCTTTTTGGACCAAACCATAAAATAGTATTCAGTCTTTAAAATCTTTATTTAGTAGTGAATTGTAATTGTATTTTTGAATTATATTTAATTTTGCTCTTTTATACTTTCCAAAAATTTTACTGCTTGGATTAATTATGGATTAAAAATATGTACTTGTGGGGACTAGAGAGATGGCTCAGCAGTTAAGAACACTGACTGTTCTTGCAGAAGACCCGGGTTTGAATCCCAGCACCCACATGGCAGC